CACATGCACGCGCACTCAAGCATTTTTCAGACATACAATACACTGTCATTCTGCAGTGTAAGACTTCTAATTGAAAATGCTGCTAACAGCAAGTGCACATATTGCATGTACAATACAGTGATCCACAATAATAACTGGAGCACGTATGTGGGGTACTGCTGTAAATATTGTTTAATGTTCATTAGTATTAATAGATTATTAAAATTTTACATTAGACGTTAGTGAGTATGGAGTTTTAATGTGGTTTGTATAACGACTTCCCTGTTTATGCGGTTTAAAGTAAAAAAAAACACATTATTTTCCACATACTGTTCATTATTGTTTCTCCTCTATGCCCCACCTTTCTAAAAAGCGAGGTGTGCTGTGATTGGCCAGCTATCCAGTGCGTTGTGATTGGCCGAATACCTCAAGCGTGAGACGGAAATGTTTCGCCCCTCACCATACTTTTGATGCTGTGTCTGGCCGGAGCGACAACACAAAAAGCATGAAAACCCATTACAAACGAGGCATTTGTTGCATCCAGTGGGGACATAATTACTTATTATAATGACTTATACTGTCTTTTTACGCGTTGCGTTGCATTGCATCACGCCGCGTAAACATAAAAAAATGAAAACGTACTTACATGAGTAGTTTCGCTTTCACAACGAAAAACACAGCGGCCTAGCGTGAGGGCAAGCCCCGGCTTAGCGTGCGCTGAGGCCGGGATAGAGTGAGCAGAGGCGGCGGGGTTGAGAACGGCGGGCCTGGCGGATGCGACGAATGAGCGGCAACCACATGTGACGACCCCGGGCTGAACTCCGCTTCGTCCACGGTGAAAGTTGATGTATTCCCTCAGCGACCAGCACAGATAAGCTCTAGGCATGACGAAGCGGATATCGTCCTCTTTTGGAAGACCAAACAAAGTAGTTTCGCTTTCACAACGAAGCACACAGCGCCTTCACGACATGGCTGCAGTGTCAACAATACAACAGTGAGAATAAAAGTTACGCCTTCTTTCTTTGAGTGAACATTTGGGCGGCGTTATGCAAATCTTCCCACATAGTGAGGTAGATATGTATAGGTGTGGCTGACTCTGAACTTTTGTAAAGAATATCTCTTTGGATTTGAGATTTTAGTCTTTGCAACTTTACAGATCTTCTTTATGCACCAAGAGCTTGTAACACTCCAAAGAGAAAGGAAAAATTTAAATCGCATCATATGACCCCTTTAATTTAAGCACCCTGGTAATCAAACACATTCACATTTATTAAAATAATAACGTTTATTCAAAGCAACTTACAAATGAGCAATACAACAAAGCAATTCATCTAAAGAGGCAGTTAGATAAGAAGTTGCATTATACAAAGTTTAAAAATTGCTCACAAAAGTAATTAGACATGTTTACTAGACGATGGCAGACAGATCCATTCACCCTCTGTGCCCTTCAGTTCTCCTCCTTAAACACTAAGATCACAATCCTCACTGTCATGTAAAAATATGAGATCGGAGCAAAGTGATACATCTGGGCACAAAGCCACTAACCATAGAATTGAAGGCCAGCAAATCTTTACCTGTGCAAAGGTCTTGTTCCTAAGGGTCTCTAGGTTTCGACAACTAAGCAGACATTCCGTAATGGCTTCAATGTAATCTGCCTCTCATTTGCCCCCAATGCTGTTTAATGTAATTTACAGAGCCACTGTAGATTCTATAGTGAAATTTGTCATCATTATGAGGTGCTGTTTTGCTGATTGGGTTTATTCTACTTCCTGTACCATTGATTCACCACCTAAAAATAAATAAGGAGGAGGTGGCATGTCCAGAATGGATTCAATGTCAACTGTTAGAAACATTTACGCACACACAAATACAGCAAATGGTTTTTTTTTCAGATGAGACCTGTCCATCAAATATGTGGGACTGCAAGAACCGTGGGGTTAATGGTACACAATATGGTCAGATTGTCTGGAGGCTAGAGGCAGGGCCGTACTTCCTTGAAGGTGAGTGACAGCACAGCCAACAACTGACTCCATCTTGATGTTATATAATATTTAATGGAATAGGAAGTTCGACAAAAGTATTGATACAGATTTTTTAAATTTATTTAACTTGTTTTACATTCTTGGTGCCCAGGATTCATCTTGAAATACTGAGCATGTTAGAAGTACTTAAGGTTATAAATATGAAACGTAATTTTCTTTTCTGCAATAAAATATCATGCTGACTCTACAAATATGATGGGCAGATTTGTTATGCTGGCACTCTTCTGGTTATCTCTTCTAGCTGAGACAAGGATCTGTTTTAAGTACTACCATGGAGTAAGCGGTGCGCTAAGGGCCACAACTCCCTGCATCACAGTCAAGAACCCCAGAGCCTCGGTCAGTTAGAGTGTGTCAGTGTGTGTGTCTGTGCAGACATTATTCTTTTGACTACATTATAGCTCACAAGAACACATGGTGTGGTTAAGTGCTTGGTTTTTCAATGTAATTTTGTGTAAGTAAGTTGTCATAAAGACAATAAATGCTAAAACATTTTCGGTGCATTCATCACACTGGAAATGGAAGGTCAAGCACATTGCATTGTGTGATAAGGTATCCAACACAGTAGTCTTTGATTGTGCATATATAAAATAAAATAAAATAAATACTGTACTGTAGCTACTGTAGCTTTCTTGTTCGCTACAGCCCATAATATGATTTGTAAAGGTTATAGAGTACTGTACATGAGGTGCTAAGTGCTTAATGGCTATTTGACTACATCCTCACATCTGTATGTTTGGAGGTCGAACATTTCTGAGTTCCTGTAAGTGCAGGCCATTTATCATGTCATTGGATGAATATAGGGAGCTCAGTCATATACATATGGCAGCTCCTTACCTCCTTAAAATACTAATTATTTATCACTGTAAGTCTGTGTTTATTACATAAGAAGGCCAGGTGTATGTTGCCACTCATATCAGTGTATCTTCCAGGTCGACGGTCAAGGTGAAGGACAGCAAGCTTCAGACAGCAGCCGAAAATTGGTCAGCTTTACCCTATCAGGTACGTTTTCTGTGTGCAAGAGATTAAAGGCAATGATCAAATGATGATTTATACTCTTTAAATAACTGTCAGTGACTTGTAATGCTGTTATCCTACTGGCAGAATTATTCAAGATGTTTTTTATAGCTAATTGGGCTGTTGTTTGTTTTAGATATCCGGGCTGTGGGGCTGAAGAAGGGGATGTTTTTTAACCCAGACCCTTATTTGAAGATGAGCATTTATCCAGGCAAGAGAAGTTGCTTTCCAACATTTTCTCATCATGGCCAAGAGAGACGATCTGGCATTACAACTAACACTACTAATCCTGTGTGGCATGGAGAGGTGATGCACACACACACACACACACACACAAGAGAAACAAACTCTCTAACGCAGGACATGAAAATATAGACACGTTCACATTCAAATAAACAACTGCTGAAACAGTTCAGATAAGATTTGGGGTTTTTTTCACCAATTCTTTCTTTGTTTTTCCATCTAGAAACACACTTTTGTGGCTCTTATGACAGACGTCTTAGTGATTGAGGTTAAAGACAAGTTTGCTAAAAGTCGGCCAATTATTAAGCGCTTTTTGGGTCAACTGAACATTCCGGTGCAGATGCTGCTAGAGAGACACGCATCAGGGTGAGCATCATGGCAGCATCTCATCTAATCATCACCACACTATAACGTGTGATTTACAGTGGGTATAGCAAAGAGACACCCCCCTTTAAAATAATCACATTTTGTTGCTTTGCAGCCTGAAATAAAGACGAACAGAGTTTTTGTTTTATCCAGCTGTATTTACTCAGTGCAACTTATAACATCCAAGTGAAAGATATAACACCAACATGTCAGAAAAAAATACAAAAATAATTAACCAGAATCACTGAGTTGGAAAAAAGATCACCCCCTTGTGTCAGTATTTTGTTGAACCACCTTTTGCTTTAATTACAGCCTTTATTCTGTTGGGATTTGCCTCTGTCTCTGTCTCTACCAACTTTGCACATTTAGACTTTGCAATATTATTTGCCCACTCTTCTTTGCAGAACAGCTCAAGTTCAGTTAAATTTGATGGTGACCGTTTGTGGACTGCAGTCTTTAAGTCATTCTGACTAGGCCATGCAAGGACATTCAACTTTTCCTCCTTCAACCACTGTGTGCTCAGTTTTGCTGTGTGCTTTGTGTCGTTGTCATGTTAGAAGGTAAACCTTCTTCCAATTCTGGCAGAGGGCAGCAGATTTTCCTCAAGAATTTGACGGTATTTTGCCCCGTCCATTTTTCCTTCTATCCTGACAAGTGCTCCAGTCCCTCCTGCAGAGAAACATATTCCATAACATTCATTCATTCATTCATTCATTATTTATTTATAAAGCACATTTTAAAACAACCCATGGTTGACCAAAGTGCTGTACAGATAATAGAAGTCAAATAAAGATACAAATGATAATCTCAATATATCTCTTCATGTAAACAAAATAATAATAATAATAAATTAGAAATCCACACTAAGCAAATGTGTTTTAAGTTTTGATTTGAAAGAGGAAAGTGATGACACCATTCGGATCGAAACCGGTAGGCTGTTCCAGAGTTTGGGGCCTACTGTCGCAAAAGCTCGGTCTCCACGATGTTTTAACCTCGATCTACACACAGAGAGCAATCCAAGGCTGCCTGATCTAAGTGACCTAGAAGGATTGTGATAATGTAAAATGTCAGAAAGATACGCTGGTGCTAGGCCATGTAATGCTTTAAAAACAAAAACTAGAATTTTAAAATCTATTCTCAGTTTGACTGGTAGCCAATGCAGAGAAGTTAAGATGGGAGAGATATGATCAAATTTTCGACTGTCAGTCAGCAGCCTGGCTGCAGCATTTTGTACCATTTGAACAATTAACAGCATATCACCACCTCCATGCTTTACTGGAGGAATGTTGTTATTTGGATGGTGAGCTATATTTGATTTCTGCCAGACATATCGTTTGATGCTGAGGCCAGTTAATTAAATTTTAGTCTCATTTGCCTCAGAATGTTAAAGTGTGTGTTTTGGCAAAGCTCAGTCGTGACTGCATGAGGCTTTTTCTTGAGGAGTGGCTTTTTTCTTGCAACCCTTCCATACAAGCCACATTTGTGGAGAATTTGTGATATTGTTGTCACATGCACACAATGGCCACTCTTTGTCAAAAATTCCTGCAGCTGCTTCAGAGTTGCTGTAGGCCTCTTGCCTCTGATCAGTTTCCTCTTGGCTCTTTCATCCAGTTTGAAGCGACGTCCTGATCCAGGGAGGGTCTGTGTTGTACCAAATACCTTCCACTTCTTAATAATAGACTTCACTGTGCTTCTAGGCATTGTTAAAACCTTTGAAATTGTTTTGTTTCATCTCCTGACTTGTGCCTGTCCACAACTTTATTCCAGAGATGTTTTGGCCACAGCTGATCACAGTGTCAAATGGCTTTGTGTGCCATTGAAAAGGTCATTAGCTCATTAGTCATTTTTAGGAGGGGGGTGATCCTTTTTCTCAACTTTTTTAAACTTTCTACTCATTAAAGAATCTCAGAAAGAAAGAAATGGTTTCCACAAAAATATTTTTGTGGAATGTTTTCAACATTGATAACAATAAGAAATGTTTTTTTAGCACCAAATCAGCATATTAGAATGATTTCTGAAGTTTAATGTGACACTGAAGACTGGAGTAATGGCTGCTGAAAATTGATTTGCCATCACAAGAATAAATTACATTTTATAATCTATAAAATAGAAAGCAGTTATTTTAAATTGTAACAATATTTCACAATATTATTGTTTTACTGTATTTTTGATAAAATAAATTGATGAGCATATTAGACTTAAAAAAATCTTAACCAACCTCAAACTTTACAACAGCACTTTGTGTGTAAATAAACGTGTGTTTATATGGCTTCAGGAACCAATCACTGAGCTTCTCTCTATGTCGTCGTTTGCCCACTGATCATGTGAGCGGTCAAATGCACTTTAAAGTGGATGTCACATCTATAGGCCAAGATGGTAAGATCACATACACATTTACGCTGACTAAGCTGTTCATTTTCAATGGTTTCGAAATAAGTTTACCCACTTCTCATAGACCTTTCCCCTGAGACGATTCTGGGGGCAGCAGCCCTCAATGGAGCTCCTGGAACCCCTTCAGATGATGAAGATCTGCCCCATCCTCTCCCTGTCTCATCAGCAGGCCCTTCCCCCACCGGCTCCCCGGGGTCCCATAGAAATGGGGAAGGGAGCAGCATTCCCTCCCCAGACACAGAGATGTATGGTACCATCCTGGACGATGAGGCCCCTTCTTCTCCTGACCCGCTCCAGGGTTCTTTCAGTGAGCAGCTTGATGCCACTGATGCCCCTAACGGCCCGGGAGATAGGCCTTTTGGGGCAGCTTCTCCCAAACTACGATCCAGCTTTCCCACACATACGCGCCTCAGCGCTATGTTGCATATTGACTCAGATGAAGATGAGGAGAGGTCTGCTGCTACGGAGGCTACACCACCAACATTTAATGGTGCTTCAAGGACTCAAAACACAACCACAAAACCACCAATTACAGAACCTGTTTTTGAAAGAACGGTAGAGGAACCTCCAGAAGAGGCTGACCTGGAGTCTGAAATAGAGACTCTGAATATAGGAACAGAGGTGGCTCCTGAGCCAGAGGTCATGCCAAGTTCAGTGGCCCCTGAGGTGGAAACTGCCAGTCTGATAGAGAGGCAAGAGGAAGAGGAGGAGGAGGAAGTGGAGGTAGAGGAGGAGGAAGAGGGGCTGGCACCCAGTGAGGAGCTGGCAACTGAAGTTGATATTTCTTCAATGGCATCTGACTGCTGCCCGGGCCTTATGTCTGCCTCTCAGGTCAGTTGCAGATTTACTGAAATAATTTTTTTTAATTTAAGTGGGTCAGTGACATATAAGAGTGTCCACAGTCTTTTACAAATCTATTTTAAAACAGTGTTGTTGTTGTTAACTAAAACGAATAAAAATTGCTTTTATTTATATATATATATATATATATGAAAACTTATACTTTCAAATTCAATGAAAATTTGAAATGTTTTGTATATAAAAAATTTTAAGTACTATAATTACTAAAACTAATATCAAAATAAATTAAAGCTAAATATAATTATAAAAAAAACAAAAACTAAATGACAAAAGTACATAACAAAATTACTAAAACCTAAACAAAATTAAAATGAAAACTGAACATATACAGATATAATATATAAGCTAATTCAAAAGCTAATTTAAAATATGAATAAATACTCTAATTGTTTTTAAATAATACTAAAATAACATTGGTTTAAATCACGTGCCAGGTTGACTTCAAATGGTTTTGAAACCGGTTTCCTAAACCTTGAATGAGTGTATTTAAATTTTTTTAAGATTTTTTTTTCTCATTTTGTTTTTCATAGTTGAGGTATACCTATGATGAAAATTACAGGCCTCTCTCATCTTTTTAAGTGGGAGAACTTGCACAATTGGTGGCTGACTAAATACTTTTTTGCCCCACTGTATATCATATATTTACACTCAGAACATTTTACTAAAGAGTTGGTTCACTTGCTTTGTCATAAAAAGGTCAAATTATATGCATGACTTTGAATAAATAATAATAAAAGAGTATGCCAAATTTCGTAATATAGTTTGCTTTTCAAGAATTTAATTCTTTTAATAAATATTTATTCTTTAGTATGATACATTGACAGTGTAATCATCCTGTCAGTTTTTTTAATTTATGGCCTAAAATATCAAAATTAATAATTTAAAAATGATATTACGGATAAAAACAGAAATGTATGAACAGCATTTTAATGTACTTTTGATTGAATTAACAGATAGAGCAAAATAATAAGTGTCACATGATTGAAGTGTTGGTTCTTCTGGCCCTTGCAGTATACCTGAAATGTTTGATGACAGTAAATACAAAGAGAGGGAAGGTAATTCTTCTCTATGAACTTGATCTTTATAGGAGGCAGAGCAGGGGGCAGAGGCAGCCATTGACCCAGGGGGAGAAGATCTTTCAGATGATCCACCCACAACTTATGAGGTTGCTGAAGAAACCGTTCTAAACAATGAGCTAGAGAGGGACACCCCAAAACCGGAACCATCAGCCATTGAGGAAGAGGAATGTGAAGATGTGACGGAGGACACAATGTCCAGAAGATGGAGCCTGGAGGCAACAACCGGTGTGTCACAGGAGGATGAAGAAGAGGAGGAGCTAATGCCATCAGTAGATGGAGAATCTGTGGAATCTGAGACCTTCATTACTGAGACAGAATCAGAATTAGGTATTGACAGAAGAATTGAGCTGACCTTCACTTGACAATTCATTTTAAGATGGAAAAAGACTCAAATTTGAGTTAAGAAATACATCCTGATGAAGTATGTAAAATATTGCAGGTGTCCCTCAGATCAACGGAGGTCAGCGTGTTCATTCTTTGCCATCTGTAAGACAAGACGCCCACCGATACCAGCGTGTGGATGAGCCCTTACCTCCCAGTGAGTGTGTGTATGTGTTTCTGTCCGTCTGCACATTTGTGTGTGTAAATACTTTGCTTATGTGTTTATGTGTTTGTTTGTAAAGACAGTATCGCCAAATTACTGTATGCCATTTTGGCTTAAAAACTTAATCAGGTACCATCACACTCTACTCTCCATTCTCATTTCCCACCTTTCTTTCCTCAGACTGGGAGGCTCGTATTGACAGTCATGGCCGTATCTTCTTTGTGGATCATGTGAACCGCACCACCACATGGCAGAGACCCACTGGTCCACCAGCTCCTCAGGGTCTGACCCGCTCCAGCTCCATACAGCAGATGGAGCAACTCAACCGCAGGTTAGTTTTTTTTATATAGGAATTAACATTTCATATTACAAAGCCAAATCTAACTTTTGACTGAGAGGACACACCCAGCAAACAGAATGTTCTAATGTTTTTGTGAATCAATTTCTAATGTTCTAAGAACATTCTTTAAAGGCTTTAATCTTTATAATCATACATTAACATTCCCATAATGTTCTTGAAACCAAAAATTGCTAGCTGTGTAGCAAAGGTGTGTTCACATGTACCTTGCATGCAAAATTTTGTCCATGTGATCTGGAATTTCATGAGAGGGACATGTGAAGTGAAACATTTCCCAACATTAAATTCAAGTTTGAAAATGAAAATGGAAGTTGAATTGTTTTAACCAGAAGCGATGAATTCATTGAACTTCTTGTTCACTTAAAAAATAGCTGAAACCCTGAAAACTCAAAAAATCTAGTAAAAATTACAGAAAGTATTGTGACAAGATGACTGGAATGAAAAATTATACTTGGAGTTTCATTGTACAAAGTACTACATTTCTGAATGTATGATTACTGTATTGTCTTTCTGGCAGGTATCAGAGTATTCGTAGAACAATGACCAGTGAAAGGTCTGAGGAACAAAGAGTGGATGAGCCTCCTTCTGAAGAGACTGACCTGCTGCCCCACTCCATCTGTGGTAAGCTGTCAATCACATTGAGAAATATAGATGATAACGTTTGGGAACACAAATGATCACTATGCTGAGATAAATGTAAGATGGCATAGTGTGGGTAGAATAAAAGGTTTTTGTTCAGTCTGTGTTTGTTGATTTGTCTGTTCTCGTGTAGAATACCGAAGGGACGGCTTTATGGGTCAAGCCAGCTCACGTTCTCGTCTGGCTTTGCTGCTTCAGTCTCCTGGTGCAAAGTTCCTCTCCAGTCCAGACTTCTTCTCTGTTCTGCATTCTAATTCTGTGAGCTAAAGCACACAGTGACACAGATGTCAGTGCTTACACGCACACCTCAAACTAAGTTGATAATGTATAGCTGGCATTATTACAAAGCTATGGAGCACATTATGTGGGGGAAAAAACAAGAGAACATGGCTACATAACACTCTGCCTAGCAATATGAATACTGCAGCACTAATACAATATTAATGTATATGTTATGTTATTTAATGCTCAATCTAAGTTACCTTTTTTTCAGGGCTAGTTAGCTAACATATGTAGTTACATTGTCAAATGTTTTCCACTATTTTAAATTCTGTCTCATCCATGACTTTGTGTCTCTTATACTGTTTTTCTGAGCTATGTTTTTGTCTTGCTTTAAATGGGGACGCCTGGGCTTCTAGCCAGATAACAAATATTTCATGTTCACTTCTTATGTTCAAACACTGAAGTCCTCTTAGGACATTTTTACTGCATTCAGTATCTAACTATTACTGCAAAATGGCACTAATTTGCTATTTTAACTTGTGTTGATATGAGAGAAATTGTAGAATAAAACAAAACTTGGAAGTAGCAGTGGTATGTTGCCACAGAAAATGGTCACGTATCCATGTCATGTCATTATAGCAAAATATTTAAATGCACAGTGACTTGACTGACCAATCGGAATCAATTATTAAGGAAGCTGTGCAGTGATTATCAGATTTTGTTTTTATATTTCCCTTCAGAGTGCCTATCGCATGTTCACAAGTAACACATGTCTGAAGCACATGATCAGTAAAGTTCGACGGGAAGTACATCACTTCGAGCGGTACCAGCACAACCGGGACCTTGTCAACTTCCTCAATCTGTTCTCCAACGAGCAGCTGGAGCTACCACGGGGCTGGGAGATGAAACACGACCCCACTGGGAAGGTGTGTGTTTGTTTTTTCTCTCTCCATCAGGAACTGTGCACATGTTCTTTCTTAGGGGCCTCTAGACCTGCATATGAGTAGTCTAACGGGATAAACTGTACAGACAGAAACTGAAAGCTGAGTTTAGGATGTTCATGCAGGCCCATCTGGTTGTCTCCTTAATGCTTTAATTAGTGTCTCTGACCGGAACAATGAACAGATGTTTGTCTTATTGATTCTAATCGGCCTGTCCGTTCTGTATACTTCTGCTGATGTTTCACATACGGTTCTTTGCTCACACTCTCTGTCTATGTGTTTATGGACCACAGCCCTTCTTTGTGGATCATAACTGTCGTGCCACATCATTCATTGACCCACGGCTGCCCTTACAGAACTCCCGGTCCAGCGGCCTGCTGGCTCACCGACAGCACCTGTCCCGTCAGCGCAGCCACAGTGCAGGAGAGGTGAGAACTGTAGTTTTGTATACAGTACAGATTTTAGCAATACACCGTGTCCGTGGTAGTGTAGAGTTAAATAAAGTGATTAACAAAATAAAATTTTGTCCTTTTGTCAGTTGTGTGGTTTCTATTTCTGTCGCTTCAAACAAGGTATCCCTGCCCACAGTGAAATCTTATTGCTCCTGGATGTGTTTTTAATGTGCTGTCTAGTTACCTAGTTTCTCTAACAATAATACTAAATTAATTGCTTGCATCTAAAAAACCTAAATCGGGCGTTATCGTGAGGAAAATACACTGAAATTATGAAGCCTCCTCTCATGTTTCAGGTAGCAGATGACTCTCGCTCTCTGAGTCCTCCTGTCCAGGGACGGTCGTCAAGAAACAGTCAGTATCAGGACTTGGTGCCTGTAGGTGAGTGTGCACTCACATGTTTACAAAGTGTGCACACACTGACATATCATCACATGTGCACAGACACATTACACATCTGTGTTTTTACAGCATATAATGAGAAGATTGTCGCCTTTCTGCGACAGCCCAACATTTTTGAGATTCTGCAAGAGAGACAGCCAGAGCTTGTGAGAAACCACTCGCTTAGGTACATTTTTCTACAGTTTTGTGTTGAAACAACAGATGTCAACGGAGTGCAGAATTTCATACTGTACATTTAAGAGATTGTGCTACAGTTATGTACAGTTTTCATTATATTATAGCTAAATGGTAAAATATGTTTCATATTTTTTTGGTTGTGTTTCAGAGAGAAGGTACAGTTCATCCGCAATGAGGGGCCAACCGGGTTGTCCCGTCTGTCTAGTGATGCAGACCTAGTTATATTGCTCAGGTTAGTGTCCGCAGTGTTTGCATCAAATTTAATTACAGCTAACCATGTGCCTGCCTGTTTCCCTTTGCTTGAGATAGGCATGCATTAGTTGACTGTGTATGTACTATACGCTACCATTCAAAAATTTGGGTTCAGAAATTTATTTTCTTTCTTTTTTTTTGTTGTTGAAGGAAATACTTTTATTCAACAACGATGCATTCAAGTGATCAAAAGTGACAGTAAGGACATTTACAGTGTTATGATTTCCATTTTAAATAAATGCTGTTTTTTTTTTTTTTTTCATCAAAGAATCCTGAAAGAAATGTTTGACAGTTTCCACAAAAATATTAAGAAGCACAGCTGCACTGATGATAATAATAAGAAATATTCCTTGAGCATCAAATCAGCATATTAGAATGGTATCTAAAGGATCGTGTGACACTGAAGTCTAGAGTAATGGCAGCTGAAAATTCAGATTTTAAAATATATTAAAATGGTAAATAGTTATTATAAATTGTAATATTTCACAATATTATTGTTGGTGTTATATTTTTGATCAAATAAATGCATGCTTGATGAGCTTTCTTTCAAAAAACATTAAAAAGTCTTAAAACAGCCCAAAACTTTTGAACAGTAGTGTATATGTTAAAAAAAGCTGTGTACCTATTTTATGATGGCCTGACTTTGTACACCTAGCTCAGGTTAGAATACACACGCCTGTTACCTGGCCCTCTCTCCTTGCAGCCTGTTTGAAGAGGAAGTGATGTCTTATGTGCCGCCCAATGCCTTACTGCTCTCCAGCTACTCTCATGCCTCCCCACAGAGCTCCCCTGGTGAGACGTCACATGACCTGGACTCACATCTTAACAAACAATTCCATGTTTCCCCCTTTTTCCCGCCTTGTATCCTCCATTACAAGACTTAATAATGAGCTAATGAAAGTGGAAGACCCTGTGGACTAATCTGTGTGTTAACCTGATCACGCATGTGTTTAAAACAGTTATTCTGATTGTGATTTGCTTTTAATTGTTAGAAGAGCCTTGCATTGTGAATCGATTGCCAAGGTAGGATTCAACCCACTTTTCATTCCAGCTATTCACATCTTCTCTTGCTCTCAGGAACTCCACGAGCCAATGCTCGAGCCCCTGCACCCTACAAGAGGGATTTTGAGGCCAAACTAAGAAACTTTTACCGCAAAATGGAAACCAAGGGTTACGGGCAGGGCCCAGGAAAAGTGAAGTGAGTTCCATCTTCAAACACATTTGATAATTCTCTATCAACAACAAGCATCTGATGTCCACCAGTTCAGTGGTTGGTTGAAAGAATTGAAATCCTGTCTAATGGAGTCTAATATTTGAAATAAGTAAAGTATATTGATAAATGGACTATGGACTATTTTTCAACTTTAGTTTCCGCTTCTACCAAGAAATTAGCATTGTAAACATTAAATAACTTGGTTGTTTCTACAACTAGAATTTGTTCTAGATCTTTAGCCAAAACAATATGGTGCGTCAAGGTAAACTGTCAGCGCCAAACATTGAGCCAATTTAATATGCTTAAATTCATCTGCCCTTCTCTGGATACTCTGGTTTATTGTGTCCTTACCTTTCTAGGTTAATAATTAGAAGAGATCACCTGCTGGAGGACGCTTTCAACCAGGTCATGTGTTATTCTCGCAAAGACCTCCAGAGAAGCAGACTTTATGTCAGCTTTGTTGGAGAAGAAGGGTTGGTGGTGTACATATTTTCTGTGCTTATTGCTTTGACCTGTGTATTATTGAGATCATTTAATTGATGTTTCTACATTAGTTCATTTCATGCAGATGGCAAAGCTGACTCATAACAGTAGCTATAATTTAAGTGAGATGCCCCTTTAGTTCATTTTACATTTTGTAACCTAAACCACATTTAAAAACTAATTATTAAATATATTTGTGCATTGATTGGAAATTGTCAGTGCATTATATAGGTGTCTGTTTTTCTTCAGGCTGGACTATAGTGGACCATCCAGAGAGTTCTTCTTCCTGGTTTCCCGTGAGCTCTTTAACCCATACTATGGACTATTTGAATACTCAGCTAATGACACTTACACTGTGCAGATCAGCCCCATGTCAGCCTTTGTGGACAACCATCATGAATGGTAATCAACCGATGGATGGATAAATTTAATTTACAATCAGTGTCCATTGGGTTTTATATATTTTTAGACTAATCTTGTCTTCTTTAGGTTCCGGTTCAGTGGACGCATCCTGGGGCTTGCTCTAATTCATCAGTACCTGTTGGATGCATTCTTCACCCGACCCTTCTACAAAGGCCTTCTTCGCATGTAAGTCTTCACTTTGAGCACATGAGGATGTAAACTCTGTGTAATTCTGTCACGTAATATGTAATATATATCTTTTTGCAGTCCATGTGATCTGAGTGATCTAGAGTTTTTGGATGAGGAGTTCCATCAGAGTCTCCAGTGGATGAAGGACAATGACATTGAAGATACGCTAGACCTCAACTTTACTGTCAATGAAGAGGTGTTTGGACAGGTACTAATGGCTTATGGGTATGTGTTTGTGAGCGTTGGCTGATAACACCAGTATATTTAGAGGACTAATCTGGGATTTAGCTGATCTCTCAATATTTGATAGTAAATATTTGAGCACTATTGAACATTTACATCTAGAATTCCAAAAAGAAAAAGTGCACTTTAAATACCCGGATGATGCACTTTAATAACTGAAAAAACAAAGTGTGGAATTGTGGACACTTCATGCACTCAACTGTCGTAGCTTTAATTATGTAGAAGGGGGAGGGGCTATCATATTCCAATTATGAATGACAAAATAACCTTATATAAATCATTAACTACATGGTTGAGTACATAGTGCATAGGTTCATAGTGTATAAGTGCATAGTGTATAGTGTGTCATTTGGGGTGCAGCTATATTTGGCTCTCTTTTAATAGTTATTCTGTTTTTCTGTATGTTACTTTTCTAAGTGATATGACGTTTTCGCTTGGCAGTTGGAAAAAAAAAACAATTCACATAGATTTGCACTGAAAAGCAAATATACAAACATCCTGGCCACAACTCAGACAACACCCTAGCAACCACCCAAACCACCATAGCAACACTCAGAACACTTTAACAATGGAATTAGGACTTGGAAAGCTGTCAGAACAAGATTATGACCGCGAATTCTGAACTTTCTTCAGAAATGTAACATCTGTTTTAGTTAGTCAAGTTCATTGTGAAGTTGTATAATATGGGAGTGAACTAGAGGTTTCTTTATGTCAGATTACAGAGCGTGAGCTGAAGCCGGGTGGGTCTGGCATCCCTGTGTCAGACAAGAACAAGAAAGAATATATTGAACGCATGGTGAAGTGGCGGATTGAGAGGGGTGTAGCCCAGCAGACCGAGAGTCTTGTGCGAGGATTCTATGAGGTATGACATCATCCGAATCTGTGAATATTAATGACTCATGATTTAACTCTGGTTGATCTGAGACCATGTGACTGCGCAGGTGGTGGACATCCGTCTCGTCTCCGTGTTTGATGCCCGAGAGCTGGAGCTGGTCATTGCTGGGACCGCGGAGATTGACCTAACCGACTGGAGAAACAATACAGAATACAGAGGAGGTATTTTACTGGATTCAGGTGTTGTTTCACACCAGGATATCATACAGCAGGATACCATAATGTGACTTTATCTCTGTCTTTGAAGGTTACCATGACAACCACATAGTGATTCGATGGTTCTGGGCTGCAGTGGAGCGTTTCAACAACGAACAGAGACTACGGCTCCTTCAGGTATACCCAGAACAGCGTGGGTCTCTTATACTACCATTTAGACTAAATGTATCACAGTTTCCACAAAAATATTAAGCAGCAAGAGTTTTCAACATTGATAAGATTAGAATGAGTTTTGAAGGATCATGTGACACTGAAGAAACGGATGCTAAAATCTCCGATTTGCCATCACAGAAATACAATTTAAATTTGAATATATATTCAAATAGAAAATAGTTATCATAAATTGTAATAATATTTCACAATATTGCTGTATTTTTGATTAAATAAATGCAGCCATGGTGAGCATAAGAGATCAATGAAATTCAATTACGGTAAGTCAATATGTATTTTTTGCGTTTTTCCAGTTTGTTACCGGCACTTCCAGCATTCCCTATGAGGGCTTTGCATCTCTGCGAGGTAGCAATGGCCCACGTCGATTCTGTGTGGAGAAATGGGGCAAAGTGACCTCCCTCCCACGGTATTTCTGAGCTTTTTTATGTGTAGTGTCTCACACAAAGATCTTACAGTATATGTTATCCCATACTGATTATCAATCAGCTAATGCCATATTGTCTGTATATGTTTGTGTAGGGCTCACACCTGCTTTAACCGCCTGGATCTCCCTCCCTACCCCTCCTTCTCCATGCTCTATGAGAAGATGCTCACTGCTGTGGAGGAGACCAGCACCTTTGGTCTGGAGTGAGCTCCAATCATAGCCAAAGTGCTACTGATTTTTTTTTTCCCAGTTCTCCACAGTCTGGCTTACCACGCAGGCTTTATTCTCACCCCTCAATCTTCCCTACGACCTTGGTAATCGGACACTTACATAATAGTTTTGTTGAAGTCTTCGGAACTGGAATATATGCTATCAAATGACACAATGGGCATGTGCCAACTCCTGCTCTATACTGTATGGACTCAAAATCCTATGATAACTGCATTCAATTCCTCACACAAAACAGACTTACACATTCACAGAAATCAGAGCTGAAGTCTTGATCTGGTTTTGGTTTTTGGAATGGTCTAGACCAGTATATTTTGATCTAGGTTGAAGGGTTTTGCCTTTTGTTCTTGAATGAGCTGCTTTGTTAAGTCCAAAGATGTTTCATTACAGTAATGTAGCCATTCCATTCCATATCTATAGGGTTTGAAGGAACAAACCTGAGGGTTTTTGCTGCAGGGCTTTGTCATGGAGATATGATGTCAGTCAAGAAGAACTTTTTTGGTTTCAAAGGTTTCACTTCTTGTTGGCGGTCTTGGTTTTGAAGGGTCTGATTCTGGACCTAAATGATATTGATCTTGGCTGGAGCTCTGAAAACACAACACCTCATTTTTTCCATCTTTAAATAGAATGAAAACACACAAAACAGCATGCACACTCTCTCATAGAGATTCTTGCACCAAATGTAGTGGTTGTAGAATAGCAACCTGAACGTCCTATGTTCAAACCGTGAACTAGAAAGTTCCTCTATCACCTCTTGTGCCCTTGAGCAAGACATTTATCAGCAGACTGTTCCAGGGGACTGTAAATGTAGTAATTCACTTTGGTTGGCTGACACTGATTAACTAACAAACATCAACACTCAGTACTTTGTAACATGCACACATTTTTTAATCCACTTCTCAACCTTTTATGCAACCCACTAATGTTACTAAAAAACTATGAATGTATAAACACTGATCATCATGTGCAATGTGTGCAACAGATTTGTGTGTATCAGGAAAGGAAGATTTGTTCTTAAGAGTCCATCATAAGGAGACCTATTGTTCTAAACTGTGGTGACAGACACAAACAGTAGCCTTGAAATGATCTTTATTAAAATGTATAGTTGGGTATAGTTAATAACATGGTGATGTGTGCAGTCCACTGGAGTAACTTAAAACCAGGGCTGCAGTGGTTAAAACCAGTAAAAAAAACAACAAGCTTCTTCTGCTATGGAAAAATAAAGGAAAACGAAAGAAAGAAAAAAGATTAGAAGAACTGTTTAACGTGTAGGGAGCAGCAAGCCAAACTAAAACACACTTGCACAAGTGGTATGAAGTATTTTGGAAATATGGCATAATAATGGAACAATCTCTGAGCAGGAATTTCCATTTAATGAACAACAGATGGAAGCTCAACGCTAAAATAATGGATTAAAGGTCCTCATTTTTGGGTGACAAAGTTATATCCCTCGTTTACAGACATGTAGTTTCCTTCTGTGGTCCCTTTCCCAAGCCCTCACACACACACACACACTCAGCAATACACAAAAATTACACACCCACACAAATGCTGATCTGGCCAAAGCACGGATCCTAGGATATGGATTTGTCTTAAAACAGCTCCTTTCTCTATGTAACTGATCTTTGGATAAAATACTGCATGCAGGGTCAACAAAGCAGTACCTGAGTTTGACCCTTAGATGATGTTGTGTCATAGCTTGATATTGCATGCTGGAATTAGTGAAACAACTGGAGTCCAGATTAGCTTTATTTGCATGAGAAGTTGCTGTTAATTAGGGCTGGGATGGGATGGGACTGGGGACAAAAATAAATAAATAATGTCACTTCCATACTTTTCATACTTCATCTGCGCTGTTATTTAAACTTTATGGGTCACTGATCATGTAAAATGTTGATGAAAGAGCCATCACTTAAAAACAGTTGGTAAAAATATGAACCTGCATGCGCTCCATGATGTGTCCATATTTGTATATAGCTGTAATATGTGTATGTCAGTCTTGTCCTGTGTTTAAATGATATTTTGCACTGAATGTACCAGAGATGTGAGTGCTAGTCTGGTCTCTTTTGGTGTTTGTCTTTGTGGTTTGTGAGTCTACTTTTATTTGTTTGAAATTGTACTTTTCTCACTGACACAGTACTGGCAGATTTGAAAAGTGTTAGAGCCATGATTTACATTTGATCTTTCTGCTTGGCCAATCAAACTGCACATGTCAGCTTATTCATTGAGTTTGCCTTTCCATGTTCCAAAGTCCAGTGCTTCAGTTGTCTACTGTAAGGACAAGAAAAGCCCAAAGATCCAGACATGCAAAGTTCCAGCCCATTTCACACTGATGGTATTAAAAGGTGTAAAACAGCAGGCACTGAACACTCAAAAACAAAAACAAAAACCTGCCTACTTTACAGATCAAAATTAGATCTTTTTTTTCTGAAATATTGGTAATCTTCATCACTCAAAATTTTAAGGAATGCTGTTTGTATGCCACTGTTCGGCTAACAGGTTTTACAAAATAACCAGAGAATTTGAACAAAAAACATTATTTTGTGGAAAACACAGTGATCATAATTAGAGAACAGTAACCACTGTAGCATGAAAGAAGATTACAACAAAAATTTTGGAGGGTTACAGCTGCCAGAAATTAGTAGGAGAGCGGTGTAGAGGCCCTTGCTTTGAATGACTTCAGCATCTGCGTGATGTGTCCCTAGTTTCTCACACTGCGCTGGTATGATCTTGGTCCACTCTTCTTCCAGTCCCTTCCATAGTTTGGTAACTATAGTGGGTTTCTTGGCCATAACTTTGTCGCCAAGGATTTTTCAGAGATTTTCAATCTGGTTTAGATCAGGACTCGGCCATCCTTTTCATTATGTCAGTATCCTTAGCTTCAAGGAACTGCTTTATCTGTTTATCAGTGTGACAGGGGCATTGTCTTGCATGAAAATTGCAGGCTGATTGGGAGATGCTAGCAGTGAAGGAACTGCATGTTGCTGAATGAGGTTCTGATAAATATTTTCATTCACTATGGATTTGTCTTAAAACAGCTCCTTTCTCTATGTAACTGATCTTTGGATAAAATACTGCATGCAGGGTCAACAAAGCAGTACCTGAGTTTGACCCTTAGATGATGTTGTGTCATAGCTTGATATTGCATGCTGGAATTAGTGAAACAACTGGAGTCCAGATTAGCTTTATTTGCATGAGAAGTTGCTGTTAATTAGGGCTGGGATGGGATGGGACTGGGGACAAAAATAAATAAATAATGTCACTTCCATACTTTTCATACTTCATCTGCGCTGTTATTTAAACTTTATGGGTCACTGATCATGTAAAATGTTGATGAAAGAGCCATCACTTAAAAACAGTTGGTAAAAATATGAACCTGCATGCGCTCCATGATGTGTCCATATTTGTATATAGCTGTAATATGTGTATGTCAGTCTTGTCCTGTGTTTAAATGATATTTTGCACTGAATGTACCAGAGATGTGAGTGCTAGTCTGGTCTCTTTTGGTGTTTGTCTTTGTGGTTTGTGAGTCTACTTTTATTTGTTTGAAATTGTACTTTTCTCACTGACACAGTACTGGCAGATTTGAAAAGTGTTAGAGCCATGATTTACATTTGATCTTTCTGCTTGGCCAATCAAACTGCACATGTCAGCTTATTCATTGAGTTTGCCTTTCCATGTTCCAAAGTCCAGTGCTTCAGTTGTCTACTGTAAGGACAAGAAAAGCCCAAAGATCCAGACATGCAAAGTTCCAGCCCATTTCACACTGATGGTATTAAAAGGTGTAAAACAGCAGGCACTGAACACTCAAAAACAAAAACAAAAACCTGCCTACTTTACAGATCAAAATTAGATCTTTTTTTTCTGAAATATTGGTAATCTTCATCACTCAAAATTTTAAGGAATGCTGTTTGTATGCCACTGTTCGGCTAACAGGTTTTACAAAATAACCAGAGAATTTGAACAAAAAACATTATTTTGTGGAAAACACAGTGATCATAATTAGAGAACAGTAACCACTGTAGCATGAAAGAAGATTACAACAAAAATTTTGGAGGGTTACAGCTGCCAGAAATTAGTAGGAGAGCGGTGTAGAGGCCCTTGCTTTGAATGACTTCAGCATCTGCGTGATGTGTCCCTAGTTTCTCACACTGCGCTGGTATGATCTTGGTCCACTCTTCTTCCAGTCCCTTCCATAGTTTGGTAACTATAGTGGGTTTCTTGGCCATAACTTTGTCGCCAAGGATTTTTCAGAGATTTTCAATCTGGTTTAGATCAGGACTCGGCCATCCTTTTCATTATGTCAGTATCCTTAGCTTCAAGGAACTGCTTTATCTGTTTATCAGTGTGACAGGGGCATTGTCTTGCATGAAAATTGCAGGCTGATTGGGAGATGCTAGCAGTGAAGGAACTGCATGTTGCTGAATGAGGTTCTGATAAATATTTTCATTCACCCTGCCATGTAGCTGTATAAGAGGCCCAACTCCTGCTGCAGAAAAAAACATGACACTTCCTCTACCACCTTCTACAGACTTCTTTATGCACTTAGGGTTCAGTCTTTCCCCATTTTGATGCCAAACAAAATGTTTCCCATCAGACCCAAATAAATTTAAATTAAATAAAAAATAAAACTTGCTCTCATCACTAAAGTGAACTTTGGACCAGTTCTTCTCTCTCCACACAACATGCTCCTCAGCAAAGGTGAGCCTAGCCTTTTGATTCTTTCTGCTGATGAGAGGCTTGGCCACTGCACTTTCAGACTGTCTTCTCTTAAACATGCAGAGACAGATCCATACCCTGTTCAGCACTGAACTGGCAAGCAATTCCAGCTGCAGTGTTGAACCAATTCCCCATTGAGAGTCTCTGAATTATCCTGTCTTCTCGTGCATTTGCATCCTGTCTTACATGCTTACATACTTGCCTTTTTAGGAGACTTGAATGAATTTGTGTCATTGTAAACCTGCAATGTGCAAGAAATCACAGATCTAGCATGGCCAACTTCTCTTGCAGTGGCTGAAAGGGTCATCCCTTTGGCCT